TTGTCACTTATTTTGTCACATCACCTAACACACCACACCACACCACACCACACCACACCACACCACACCACACCACACCACACCACACTACACCATGTACCACACCACACCATGTTCCATTAAATAGTGTAGTTTTTTTATTGCTGACTATTTAACATTTAATAATCTTCTGATTACAGGCAACAGGAGTGGTGAAGAAAGGCCCTTCTGTTTCTATAAAACACAGCAAAGTCAAGGTATATTGTTTGTAATAACATGTGCTGCAGTGTTTTTTTCACTAGCCAGGATAAAAACTCTGGGTGCAGCGATCCTGTGTGAATGACTGCCAAAACACAACTGTTGTTCACATTTAATACAACTCAAGAAATGTAGTTACTCGTAATTGCTACTGGCTTTGAGCTAGTTACAGCAGAAATCGTTGAATCCTTGACTTCAAAAGAAATCGTTAGGATTTAGGATTTTCTTTGACTTGGGGGCCAAGCTTGCTGCAAGTCAGCCAATGACTGAAGGAGTTTACGATAAGCTCCGTCCCTTAGATTGAAGGAAAGAACAAAATCAAAATAAACTTTGAAACGAAGAAGTCGCGATTCAACGATTTTCGCTGTAAATTGGTTGAAACATTACAGGCCAAAGATGAAAGATTAAAGCTGTTTCTGTCGGCAACTATCACAGCATAATGCATTCAACTACTGCTTATAATACTTGATGTTGCTACATTGTAGGTAGTGGACATGACAGGACCAGAGGCTAAAATCTTAACTGGATATGGTTCTCTATCACAACAACATGCTAAACCAGGAGAAATGCTCACTTCAACTACAGGTTTGTTTTTAAGATACTTGTGTAATGGATTTGTAGGCACATTTACTGATTTGTACTTTATTTAACAAATACATTCCATTTTTCCATGCATCTTTACTTTTAATTAATACGTGATTGTACATTTAGATGAGGGTGAGGAGTATATTCAACCTTAAGTTCCCTCATTATACATATTCACTTTAATTTCTTGCCATGAATGTTGTTGCTAAGTGATGTTACTTTACTTGAACAGTCGAAGAAGCTGAAGCAGCATTTTCAATGCCAGAACTGATATATAATCTGAACTTGTTGGTGGAAATGACYGAACAGGATATCATTCAAACTGATAAACAGTGAGTAGTATAACATGCATGCAATTTGAAAAAAATATTTTCTTGCATTCTGTACAAAACATCTTTGATTGTGTTGTTAATTAAGTGATCCATTCATAATTAAAGTGTTTTTAATTAATGCATACATTTTGATCCATTATTTTCATTTTTCCCACCTCCTACCCATCCATCCATATATCTTTCATCCAGCTATATTTTCATTACAGGCTCCATTTTGAGCAAGACATGGTTTCTAACCTAAAATATGAGAGTGAACGTAATAGTGATATAATTGAACAAGAAGAAGARCAGATCAAACGACTGACAGAAATCATTGAACTTATTGAAAGGTAACATTAAGCACAGTTACTTTAAATTATTCAGTATTTCACGACAATCGAAGTAGTATTTTAGTGAACTATAAATTATTATATAATGTATTTTCTAATTTGTTATAGACAGATTGTTTTGTAGTTAAATATCTTTTACTATCTACCTAAATAATTTAACTGCCCAAAAATAAATAAGATCAATGAATACACCAAGCAATCCACCAATCAATCAATCAGTCAATTYATTAATAAGTCCATCACTGAAACAGTCAATTTATCAAGGAGTCAATGAACCTATCCTTGCATCAAACCATCCAACTTATCAATGAATTCACCAATCAGACAAGCAGTCAGTCAGTCAACTTACTAATACATCAAATCAAGGAATAGTTAATTTTGATTGGATAATTGTCTTCATACTCTCTCCTTTTTTTCATTTGAAGTTGTAATACGCTGTTGTCAACAGCTGATCACAGTTACGAATCTCTGAAAAAATGTGAGGACATATTTAAGCGCCTGCAAGATAATTTCCATGAGGAATATATGGTAGGGATATATTGGTATTAAGTAGGGCCAATTGTCAAGCTGTAGCTTTTGTTATATTGATTCATATTTATGTGGCAGACTGTATCGTTCACTTCATATAATTTTGTTTATAGTTAATTATGTTGTCCATCAATCAGTTCAACAATCAATCAGTCAATTAATCATCAATTAATCAATCTATCAATCAATGAATCATTCATGCATTCATTCATTCAATTAATAAATCAATTTGTCAATCAGTCAAGTAATGAGATATGATTTGCCAATTTTTTCACCCATACAGCCATTTGCTAATTAAAAAAAAATTTCTCTCTTTGCTTTTGTGATAGATGGATGAATTATCTTCATTAGCAGTTCCTCTAGTATTTCCTTTGGTAAGCAACATTTTGATCACAGAAGTGTACATACTCCACCTATACTTTGAGATCTTTTATGTAACACTCCTAAGTCCTTAGCTTAGTTTGATTGTTGGTTGAATTTGTCAGGTAAAGGAATACCTCAGTAAGTGGAATCCCATTTTAAAYCCAGCATTTGGTCTAGACGTATTCAAACAGTGGAAGTACCTACTTCAGAATGACAAACCATCAGCATTTAGCCTCACTCAAAACACACCTGTAGACACAAATAAGTAAGCTCACACCATGATGATTTGAAGAATTGGCAAAAAACAAGAAGAACGTATTTCTTGTTGTTTTTCAGCATGGATATCTATGACCAGCTTGTGTGGGAAGTATGGATGCCCTTTGTAAGGACAGCTGTCAGGTAATACTCTCATTCTGTACCACTGTGCAACATTGGAGACAGAATAGCAATTCATTCTTAGGTGTGGCCATAAATGACCCTCAAAGTCCATCCCAACAGAATATTCTAGAAAATGATTGTAAATAACACCCTCCAACATTTGACACAAGGTTCAAGGATGTTACATTTAAAATTTCCATCAAACAATGTGTGATTCACTAGCTATTTTGTTTTTGTTTGGCTTTGTATGTACAATGTTACAATGGGATTAAAAACAAAATGAAGGCTCTTTCATTTCTTTATAGCTTCAACCTACTTGTAAAATTGTAGTTCTGGGCTATCTAAATTGGGAAAACAGCGTTTTGATTAAAATTGATAAAGATWTTGTGTTTTTTTATTAAGTACATCTGGAATTAACATTCATGGTTTGTTTTTAATAATAGTATTTGGAACACTCGCGACAGTGAACCAATGGTACGATTAATAGARCTTTGGTCACCATTGCTTTCGCCTTGGATCATTGATAATGTAAAAAATTTGTTGATACTTCCTCGTTTACAGGTAAGTCACAAAATATAGGTTGCACATAATTTTAATTTTAATTTTTTAAATTTTATTTTAAGAATTGATTGTTTTAGATACAGTAATGTTTTAGATACTAAAATTTCTGAAAAAGTTATAGAGTCTTTTTATTTTTATACCGAACCATCAACCCTATTTGCTAAGCTCAGAGATTCGATTTGTCAACACACACAAGATGTACATGTATTGTTAGTAACATCTCCTATGATTTCTTCTTGTTCTTTTAGACTGAGGTTGACTCATGGAATCCTCTAACAGATGCAGTTCCAGTTCATGCCTGGATTCATCCTTGGTTACCAGTCATGGGTAAGCACTACCTTTATTGCATAGCAAGTATTTTACAATGATATGGTGATGTGATAATTATAACTTTTTTGTGACAGATAATACAAATGTGTTGTTTTTCTCTTTCTTAGTCGGTGGATTTTTCAGAATCTAATAATACTAACTTTCTTACACACAGAAAAATAGTTTGCTCACATCCTAGCAACTCTTTACCCTCACTTGCCTGCATGAAACATTGTTGTCACGTGTGACATGTTGCTAGGAGAGTGGGCATGAGTTCTTGAGGATTCATTGATGCTTGGAGGAAAAACTAGGGGAAGTACCAAGTGAAATATAGAGATTGTTCAGTGAAATGCACCTGGATTGGTGACATGTGTAGTTTTGTACAGGATTGTAACACCCCATGTTCATGACAGATGTTACTTAGGAGGTTGATATTATTTTGGTGTTATTCTTCTCCCTTCAGGGTCATCTTTAGAACCTTTGTATGCTCCAATTCGCTATAAATTATCTTCAGCTTTGACTAACTGGCATCCATCAGATCCATCAGCGAAAATGATTCTTGAGCCTTGGACAAAGGTTAGTCTGATATATCATCATATTATTGCTATCCCAATTCATCGCTACATGTATCATTATCATCATCAAAATGATATTATATGATTGTTAGAATACTGTCTCACAGAAGGTCTAATTATATATGCTTACGTGCATATATAGCCTCATCACATCAGTCATTAATAAGTATACTTTTATCTAGTCTACGTGTATATTCTACTACAAAAATGTGGGCATTTGTAGATTTGTAGATTTTTTAGCACTCACAATAACATGTATGAACATTGTTTTTTTAGGTATTTTCCAAGGGCAGTATGGATGCCTTTGTGCTGCGTTCAGTATACCCAAAACTATCTCTWTGTTTATCTGAGTTYGTTATCAACCCTCATCAACAACACCTGGGTAAATGAATGATTCTCTGTGCTGCTGAAAAATCAGCATTGAGTTTGTCAATTGTTTTACAATTTTTCATTATTTGATGGATGGTAATTTTCCTGTCCTCATAGAACCATTCCTATGGGTTCTGACTTGGAAAGACATTATCCCTATACAGCATTTTGTGAGTTTACTAGAGAAGCATTTCTTTCCTAAGTGGTTTCAAGTAAGTAGTAGTAATAGTTCCTGTGCCATCTTGAAAAATAGCCATGCCTATTTGCATCAAAGGGGGACAACTATTTGTGCCTGCAGGGAACTGTGGTGCAGGGAACCATGAAGGAGACTATAGCCAGCTTCTGCCCTGTCGAAGCTTGTCTCGCAGCTCAGAAGCCCAATATCTGAAGCCTCCCTTTGCTTCCCTTTTTTTGTGAACCCACATCTTCTTGTCGTTACTGATTGACAAGATTAAATTCAAATTTTGTTTGAATATGACTCCAACATTGAATTATTGAAGGGAGTTTGAAAGATTTGATATTTAACTAGTAAATACTTGGATTGATGAAATTGATATTGTCAGCTTGTAAGTCTGCATTTCTTGAGAATATAATACTGTTAAGTACACTGCATTAATTTGTACCAACCTAATTTTGAAGGTTCTTCGTACTTGGCTGACAAACAATCCTAATTATGATGAAATAACAAAATGGTGAGTGCTGTATATTTTAATTATGAATAAACACCCAACATGAATTAAATGCTCAAACATGAAGTCATGCTAGAATTTAGAAATGCAGCATGTTTATATTCAAATAAATGTTGCTCTTAAACTAATTCTGCAAAGAACCTTACTAATGGAAAATGAGGCAGTGGCATCAAAACAATGAATTGTGTACTTGTCAGTGAATAGTGAACTTTTTTTGGCTGTATTTTTGTTTTTGTTGATTTTGTCTTCATTGCAGTCTAGTACAATATTATTATTTCCATTCCAGGTACAGAGGATGGAAAACCATGTTCAGTGATGAATTATTAAAAAATCAGGTTATAAAAGGTAAAATCGGTTAATTTTGTACATCATGCAAATTGCAGATTATATCGCTCTAAAGTTCCTTCTTTTCTTTGACAACATTTTAATGTATTGAAGCATTCTGTCCATATGGCAATTGTTTCAATCAATACATATTTTTGGTAAAGCCTTTCTTTTGTTTTTGACATGCAGCTCAGTTTAACAGAGCACTTGATATCATGAATCAAGCTGTGTCATTACCAGGAGAGTATCTTCAGCCTGGTGCCAGAGAGCACATCGCTTACCTTACCAACACTGAGAGAAGGTAGGCTTTGCTTCTCTACTAGATACACTGCATTATACCAAAAGAAATGAATATTATTTTAATATTACACCTACTTGCGAAAACGTTGTCATAAAAAAATAAGACATTTGTATTTTAGTAAAAAGGAATAAATTAAAAAGACAAAGGAAGATCACTGAGTCTGAACGCTTTCTTTTGTCTTGTTTTAATTTATTCCTTTTTACTAAATTCGAATGTTCTATTTTCTATGACAACGTTTCTGCAAGTAGGTGTATGTCTATTGGTTTAAAGTCTAATATATAAACTAAGTTCTTTTATTTATTTATTACTTTTTTGCACTTTTCAGTGTTTTTTGTCATCCTTCATAACTTTCTTGTTTTTTTTTAGGAAGGAAATTGAAGCTGCAGAAGCTGAGAGACTCAGGGTAAGTAATATTACAAACACCATAGGAGCAAAAAATGCTAACTGTCTGAATGGATTGATCCAAAATAACTGAATTATTATAAGTAATAGCATGGCTGAGATTGAGGATTAGGGATTAAATGTCCCCGAAGCCGAGGGCAGATAAGTTGAAGTCCCGACGGCCGCAGAAGCTTATCAACTATTATCAAACATTGAAATTCGTCAAGTGCACATGCTCAGCGGTACGAAGTAGATACTCGGAACCAGAGCTACTCGGTCAATTTGTCACAAAAATCATCCCACATTTCAGTGTGAATGAGACGATAACCAGACCGTTCATTGCAGAGGTAAAAAGAAGACAGCTGTAGGGACATTCAGTTGCTTACATTTTGACTAGTTTTGCTGTTATAATAAAACATTTAACTTGAATAAGGCATATTTACTATTTCATTTGTAATCATTGTTTCATTCAATGTTGTACAGGCTGAATCTTCAAGACATCAATCATCCAATCAAAGTGTTCCAACTAACTTTAAAGATCTTATTCACAAAATGGTAAGCAGTTGGGTGTTCTGGGATATAGTTTTTTATCTTCAAGCGTTGAAAAGATCTCTGACAAGTTAGCATAGTGATCTTTTCCCTCAGTATGAGGTACCAACCTAATATCATGAATAAACTGCTGATAACTACTGAATATGTTCATGTAAAAAATTATGTGTAATATTGTGATTCATTTTTCTAGGCAGAAGACAACAACCTTGTTTTTATGCCAGTACCTAATCGACGTTATGAAGGCAAAGCCATATACACCTTTGGAAAAACCACCATGTACATTGATCAGGGTGTAGTCTTTGTRCAGACACAGAGTTCTTGGAAACCCATTTCATTGCAGGACTTAGTGATCTTAGCTAAATAAACACAGCATGATTGTATACTGGCTACAGTATTGAAATATTGTCATCAACCCCCTCCCCTCCACATTGAAAATGCTCATAATGGTCATGACGAATACAGGTCATTTCGCACAAAAGACCGTTCGCACAAGTTGTTTCGCCCATATTTCGGACCGTTCGCACAATTTTAAGAAGACACTTCGCACAGAAAATTATAAGTGAGCAAAATAATTTTATTGAGATTCTTACTGTACTATATTAAATAAATTCCTAATTACTAGCTTGAAATAACAGTGTTTCTGAATTTGTATACACAATTGATCGCAATAATTTTATGCATATCATATTTTGATTGCCCAAACAATGAAGTGTTGGCAGCTTGAAAAAAAATTCAGCTAAATGGAATTAATTGGCATTAAACATGACCATCAGCCAACCATTTTCAGGGCAATACTTAGTAATTGGCTCACATTGTCTGAGTTTCTATGGTCTCCTTCACAGTTCCTRCAGCATTTTCAATTTCAGAAAGCTATACTTGTAAATTGAAGTCAGATGGCTTGTGAGTATGCAATGATAGAAACCTTTCTAGACAATTATTATTCTGAAGATGTATCTATCATTGTAGACCCATTAGGTCACCTTTTATCAGAGTGAACATATAGTAATAATGGTTACAAGCCATACAATAAACATTGCTTCACATCCTTCTTCAGTTTTTATTGCAAACGTGAGTAGAAATCATAATATCTTATATTGATTATTTTTACACAGTATTTTTCTTCCTATAGGCCTGCTAAATATACACTGTCATTCAAACCCTGTGGGAAAATAAGGTTTTGTTTCTAAGAATTTAACTGTGAATTCAAAGTGAAACAATTACACTTGCTCCCAGGTAGTCTGAATAGTGAGGAAACATTTATGGCAACATATTTGCAGCTCATCTCATAAATACCAAAACAGCATATACATGCTTGACATTGTAAATATTTCAATACTTTTAAATATTTTTAGTTTAGTACAATAATTTCTCTGGAGTGTTTACACAAGAAGATAAGAAAAAGAAAGGATAAAGAGTTCTAATYGTGCTGATGAGGTTTCATACAAGAGGATAGCTTGCCTTGCTGGCAACGCCACACATATTGTTTTTGTTTCTTGCCATCTTTATGTAACCCTCTTCTCCCCAAACTGTGCCCCAACTGCAAAAAGAAAAGAAAAAAGATTTGAGAAAATTGTGCAATTTTGAGTGAAGGTTCTCGTAATTCTTTCTGTTTAGACAGAACTGACCAGCCAACCAGCCAGCCAGCCAGCAGCCAGATAGACTATTTGTATAGGATATAGCATGACCCTGAGTACAGTTTGGAATAGTCATGAGTAATGTTTTGAGTAATGTATTCAAGAGAGGTTGGCGATTTTCTGTTTATAGTACATCCAGTAAAACAAAATTTTATAAGGAGTACAATAATTAATGTTTTATTTGTACTTTTTCCGACCAATGAAAAAGTATTATTTTGTTTTGAAAGTACTATAAAAGAACTAAATAGTACTTTTTTTCTGGATGTCAGTAACAATTTACCTGTTTTTAATCAGCCAATAGTCTTGTCCACCTTCATTACCAAATCCAACAACCAGCACACCATGATCTAATCTTACACTGCTACAGCTKGAATCACTGAACACTCCTTTACTGTAGAAGTGAAATGTGGTCAGRCTAGCATCAATTGCAACAGACACAGGTCCAACTGAAGCTACAGCATCTTTGAGAGCAGGTTCGCTTCCCTCGGGAATATCTACAAAACCATTGTCATCTGCACCAACATTTGAAGCATTAAAATGACACTTTCCATCCTGAAAATTTTATGATTTTATTAACTTTCATGGATATAATCATAGCAAGTTTCAATGGCAGAATTTGAAAGAATACATTCTGTACAGATACAAGTAGGGCCATAGACCTTTTCTGAAATATAAAATCACTGTGCATTGTGCTTTTCTAAAATATAAAATCATTGTGCATTGTGGTCTAGCTTCAGTACAAACTGAATTGCCATACTGATTTGGTCATGTGAGGGTCATATAGGGGGGGGGGGGGGGGGGGGGGGGGGGGGGGGGTTGCACAAAAAAAATATTTGCAAGCATCATCTTACCACTGCCTTGTATGGGTAACTTTCTTCAGTATCAATGCCTTTATTAGCCTTGACGTACRTAAAGGCGTTATCCATTAGACCTCCCTCACACCCATGGTTGCCAAACTTTTGTGAACAGTCAACAAGGTTCTGTTCACTTAGGGACACAAGTTTACCAGTCTTGCGGAAGTGCTGCCCTTCTAACGCCCCAGTCTATTAGAGAGAAAAGACATTCAATTATTTCTTAATATGTGAATTCTTTGTGACCAGAAAGTAGAGTTATAAAAATAACATATTAGAATATCAGAAATCAAATGGTTAGACATGAACTTTTTACTTACAGTGCTGAACGCCCAGCAAGAGCCGCASTGTTTTTGATTCTTTACTGGAGTAACATAACCTTTAGCTCGCCAGTCTATGGAGCTGACATTTTTCAAATTTAATGGAGAGAGAAATTGTACACCTTTGTTTGAGCGGCTTCCTTCTAGTAAACCAAAGGTTTGTTTAAATCCATTTAAGGAATGTTTGACTTCTTCAGGTGTCTGAAAAGAAAAATTACCATCAGCATGTATAAAATAGCATAGCAGGACAAGTATATGTACAGTGAAGCTCAACCTATTAACCAATGACATCATCCTTTATATGTTGCTTTATAAAATTTTTGATATATAACGTGCACTCTGATTGGTTGACGACCATGTTTATAACAGAGGACAGAGACACGGCTTACCGGCAAAATTTTCTTTTTCGCTTGAAAAATTTTATAAAAGAAATATAAAACGGCCGCTTGTGTCTCTGTCCTCTGATATAAACACRGTGGGRGTTGAAAAACACTGGAGAAGCAAGAGAAACACTCGCTACGCTGGTGTTCCTAAGCTTGCTTCTCTCATGTTTTTTGAACTCCCACAGTATTTATATCAAAGGACAGAGACACGCGCTCTGTTTTATACTTCTTAATTATAACAGCTTCGCATAATTAACAGGGTTTGTGCTACAATTTCATCCGACAAAGATGATTTTGGATATGCCTGCTGTTTTTTAACACTGCAGTGACAAATAAATTAATTCAAATACAAGTCTATTAAAATAACAAAAACAACAAACAAACAAAAAACTCTAACATACCAAGTCACCAAGATGGTTCATAGCTAGTTTATATGAATGCTTTCCTTCATTATGAGCTTTAATTTTCTTTAGGTTATTGTTCCAGATCAAATTTCTTAGTTTTTCTTCTTCTTTATTTACATAATGCTTATCATGGAATGACTTCCATGCTTGCCAATTGGGATCTTCTAATAATTCTGATACAGGAACACATGAAGCAGCAGCTACAAAAAGTAGAACAAGGAAAATGCTTTCCATATTTTGAAGATTTACTTTCTTACACCTGCAAGATAAAATAAGAGGCATTTGTTACTGTTACTGTTGACAGTAGACTAGTCTCATTAGCATCCATTTTTGTTTCAGAATTCTTGTCCCTAAAACGAAAATGGTTGCGAAGGAAACTAACAGGAAATTTTTTTTTTTTTTTTGAAAAGTGGAAAAGTGGTAGTTGTGCTTGATGCAGGATATTATTTTTGGTGTTGAAAAATAAGATCCCTCCCTGTTATTTAAGCCTAATGGTCTCAAACTTACTCCACACCATCATCGCTGTATCAAAATAATTCATACTATAAAAACATAGCTTTTGAAAGGTCTCAAGGATGTGAGCCCTTCACTTCATGCTTTTCATGGGTACAAAAATTATTCCTGAAGCACGTGACATATTGCCAGCAGTGCAGAGGATGATGTAACTAGCCTACGTACGTATAAACCATTTTACTGGCGAAAATATTCTCAAGGTGCGGAGTTTCAACAGTTATAACATTAGGCTTTTGTTAAATAGTAGTTTGTTGTTTATAAATTAAGCTTAAATATACGAAGTTCAACGAACCATCCTATTTTTCTCCAAAATATTAAGGACTTACAYCGGGTGTTTTCAAAAAAATCTATCAAAAAACAAGTTCAACTGGGGCACATAAGACATCAACATTATTTTCCTAAAAACTAAGCAATATGACGAAAAAAGAAGAAAATGTGATCGATTTTCAGGCGAACCTTTTCTGAAATTTCTGGGAGAAAATAACTTAAGTTAACCGGTTTTGTTTGTAAAACAATCGATCGTCGGCAAAAATAAACAACTTACTTTTATGTTAAAACTTGTCTYATCAAATTGATAGTCTTAAAGTGCATATCCTAGTAATTTYAACTAAAATCGTGCACAGATAATTCACAACTTACCGGCGAAATTTTCCTTTTCCTTTTGTATAACTGAACAGATCCTCGAGACGTACAAATTAAATGTTTATCCTATATGGAAGCTCGTCTCTGATTGGTTGTACATATATAACAACTGATGTGATTGGTTAAATCGTTTAGAGAAGGAAATCACGAGACTTTCATCTGACATAAACACCATGACGTAACTAAAGCGGGAAAAAGTAGTCCACGTTTCGCGCGGAAATGAGAATAAGCATGAATTAGCATGAATTAGCGATAAGGGAAAGCTAAATGAAAATCAGCATTTAAAAATAGACAAGAAAGAAATTGTGTTAAATATTAATATAATTATTTTGAATGGGAATAAAAAAAAATGGAAGGGAGAACTCGGAGATATTTGTTGAAAGGACAAAAATAAAGAATAAATCTCTCTGCTGACAGATAGTGATCGAGTGAGCTGGCATGCAAACGCTAATAGCAGAAGAAGCCACTGTCGCCAAGGGGACRTGCTTCGATAATTTCAAAGCTCACAGATGTGTATATATCGATATATCTTCACAGATGTGAGTTTTATGTTCATTTTAAAACTATTTTATGATAAGCAGAAGGTTATTTMTTGTCAGCTTTTTTCTAAAGGGGAATCTGAAAAGAGCAGCATTTCTTTACTTCCGGTAACAGCACGGAACAGCACAGTACTTCCTGTGYTCGTGAAAAAACTTTATTGGGGGAGGGGTAGATTATTTTTACTGCTTCATTAGGCAAAACATTTGATTTTGTTTCAAAAAACTTAACACGACCCACAGAAGTTCTTTATTTTTCTATTATGTTTTGATCATTTTTGATGATAATTTTCAAAGATATAAAATTTATGAATTATTTAGYCCTTTAGATTTCTATACTCTACCCTCCCTTACTCAGTAAATAGTCTGCAAATTTATGCGCGACTGAATGATCGCATAGTCCAATCGCACGAAACAAAACATGGTGAACGGTGCCAACAGAGCCAGCCTATTTGGCACGTTTTTCTCATTATTAGCATGATAAGTCGTGATTTTTATACGGCGGAACAAATGCTAGAAGGTTTATGGAATGAGCAAACCCACCAAAGACCTTAATTCTCGTCTGGAGGGATTTATCTGTCCAGCATGTTTAGTTGACTTCGCTACCGCCTCTCAAGTCCAAGATCATTGGGTGAAGTTTCACTGCTCGAAGTCCAATTCAACGAGTACCACAGCTTCAGGGCACAATGACTCTAAGGTAAAATATCTTTACTAAAAACTAAGATGTTATATCAAGTTGACTTGAAGATAAACCCTCTCTAATTTTGTTCAAATGCCCCAAGCTCTTGAAGACAAGTTGATGTTTTCAGAAAGACGTTCGWCTTCAATCATCCGTCACTGTCATGCGAGGATTTGTACATCTCCTGCAATGTATTGTAACATATCTAATACCACGAAATATTGTCATGACRTTAGGGTTAAAATGATTCTCAGTAATAATTAGTAACTACAACGTAAAAACTAGTTTTTATTGTGATTTTGATTAGTGTTCGCTAGCTAGGTCGTTGACGGATTGTTGACATTTGCACATCGCCTAGAACTATTTCTATTCTATTCTAGTATCTTGATCGTTATGATCAGAATATCGTATATTACAKGGMTCGAAAAAAATATGCATTGCTCAAATTGGGTGGTTAAAAATTAAAAAGGTGACAAAAATCTTTGAATTTAATTTTTATTCAAACATTCCATCATCATTGTCTTGTGTTTACGTTACCTTTGTTCTTGAACTATTTCAAAACTCCTTCGGTCTGTTTTGAGGAAATTGACGTATTGTTCTTTGAACAATTGGCTAATATTTGTATAAGTGAGTAAGGATGGAAGCTTTTATATTTCAGCTAAATCGAACAAAGTGCAACAAGCTAATACTTCCATTGCAGAGCGTGAATTTTACCGGTGCTGATACCACCAATAAAGAGTTTTTGACAATTGACAAAACGATCAAGAAATGAAGAAGTGACCTCTTAATCTACTAGCTTGTTTTGTAATGTTAGAAGTGTAAACACAGGCTRAAAAACCGCTAAAGACAATGTTCAGGGACAATGTTATACTGAACAGAAACAAGATAATTATAAAACGTATAATTTATGGCTATCGAAGGTCCGTTTGCTCCYCGCGGTGACTTTTTAAAGGGTGACCCTTACAATTAGAATTCAACCACTCATGAAGAACCTCTCTCTTATYCAAGTCTTTGTTTGAGAAAAACAAACAGACAGAGAGAAAATAAATGAATAATTATATGTGTATGCAATGATAATAATTATTAATAAGCAACCAAAATAAAATTATAAAACCATTAAACTTAGAAATATATTGAAACATCCTTTATTGATATATGCTAAGAACTGTGTTTTGGAATGACAACTTAGACAAATATACCATCCACAATCTTTTGGTTTTAACTACGTCATCACATCTTTTCTTTTTTACTGACATTAAAATATGAAATGCATATATCCTTTTAGATCATAAAAAGATTACATAGTTTTACAAAATTTTGCAATTTTAGAGGTTTTGGTTGCAGAATTATTCCCAATAAAATGTTCATGAATGAAATTTGTTTCAGAATGAATGGAGAAATCCAGACAGTGGYCAATATCTGACCAGCGTCTAGATTCAGAGAGTTACGTTGAGAGAAATTTAAAGTTTTTGACATATTTTGTTGCTATAATATACTTGGATTTGATAAAATGGGTCTGAGCACTGTGACAGCATTGCGTGACACAATTCATGCTTTAGTATTTTGAGAATTCCAAAGAATAATGTGATTATAGTTCATATATAGCTTGTAACATCATATTATAGATTTCATTATTTTTAGTGATGTCACATAAAACCAAAGAATGTATGATTAATGCCATGACATATATCATATCATCCCTACTATAACTTATTCAATACTGCTATTTCCTGTAGCATTGTTTATATTTCTGTTGTTCTTTCCTAACAAACTGCAGAAGATTATGTCCGGGTTCTCGAGAATGAAAATTATATTGTATGATGTTGAATCCATTTGCTCAGCTTTATTTCAAATTGTCATACAAGCCACTGTGCAGAGCGCATTTCTCAGTGTCTGCTTTGCAGTGTTGCAGTTGAAGTATGCAAGAATGCATTTAAAAAATTGACCAAATCTTTAACACAAATATTGAAATATTATTGCATCACTTGTGCTTTTACGTTCTCAAAAATTGAAAGCATTTGCATATCCAACATTCAACATCATTCAGCACTGTTCAAAACCATTGAACGAATGTTGAAAGAATTACTGCCCGCAGCTTTACGTTACCTTCTAGAGTAATACTTGATAATCTTTTTTAAATACATATTTTAACATATCATATAAATATGTTTCTCAACAGCCTCATGAGTTCAAGTTAGTCTACTATAATGTCCCAGAGACTTGTAGAGTATGTAGCAGTGGTGTTTTGAATTATGAGGGACTCTATTGTGAAGGTAGAGAGGAATATTAATAATGGCAATTTGTGAAATATTTTAAAGCATTTGATTTCATACTATTAATTACATATTGTATGCTTTTGTCAAGCCATTATAGTGTTGTTTTTTGTATGCATTCATTGTGCTCTTACTAAATGTTTCATTTCATAGTTTGTCACTATGTATGCCACAAGAAGTGTGAGGGAATGGTAGGTTTTTATAGTATTTTTATTTGTTTAATTCAATTACTCAATRCAGGRCTCRAATATACAACAGCCAGACATATGCATCATGACAAGACGTCCTTCCAAACTCATTTAATCACTGGTGCACAGGGTTATATAATATTTAGGGCATAGTATTTATCATCTTTTTGTTTTATTACTACCTCAAGGTAAATTCAAAGTGTGGAAAGCGGCCTTCTATGTCCATTAATGCAGGTTCACGTTCATCTTTCAGCGTAAGTTAATATTCTAAATGCKACATTTAAAATAGTTTTAGATTTCTCTATATCAGCTTCTTTATGTGCAAAATATTCAAAATTTTATAACAGTTCTAAATTCAAATCAAAGTAAATTTTAATTATGTTGACCAGTTTAAACATTGTCTCAATATAAACGTGGTGCGTCTTGTATTTTAGATTTCAAATAAAAATGACAGTTACCATGGATATCGACTGCCTAAAGTGGTAGGGTTTATCACCAATGAAAATACAAATATTAATCAAAGATATACATTAAATAATGACGATAGTGATGAATAAAAATAATCATGATGATGATGATTATCATTATAATTATAATCATAAAAACATTGAGATGACATTGATTTTCTTCTAATCTCATGTTTGAAATCATTCTAAAATTTCTTCTCATAAGAATTATTATAACTACTAGGAGCTTCTTGTCGAGCTGACTGCTGTCAACTGACTACTTTATTCAACAATTAATGATTAATATTATGCTAACAAACTATTTCAAACTATTGTCTAGCATCCTCAAATGGTAGACAGGCTCCAGTGGAGAAGGGGGGTGACTGTCGTACAACCTCCATATATGGTTGTGCATGTACGGCGCTGATGTGCACATAGAAGGCACTGATGTGCACTTAGAATACTGTCATGTCCCAATTATGTGGAGAACAACTTAGAAAATTTTCAAAGACTTTAACTTAAACTTAAAGAAATTTTGAAGAACGTGTACTAAGATTCGAACCAGCACTATGGATTGCCTAACCAGACATTTTCCCTAAACCTAACCATTAAGCCATGAGACCAATTCCCTTGAGTGAATCTGAATTGTTGTGATGTTTGTGCAACAGCATACATGAATACACACGTGTATGTAGTACATAAGATTGAATATTATTAATGAACCTTCTTTAGGGACTTGAGAGCTTTGTATAGACATTAGAGCCATGCATATGGACATCCATACATGGAAGTCGTACAACAACCTCTACTCCTCCAGTGGTGTGAGAGAAAACACTTCCTTTTGTTCCTCTGCCRGTAGAAAATACAACTGAAATTTTTATCTGAAAATTTGTTATTTTGTKTCAAAAAATGAATATCAATCATTAAAGTTTGTTTACGTAGCACACATGTACGATTCACTCATATTGATTATTACGACTTTTTAACAAAAATGACATCTAATTTTAGAAATAACTTCTCAGTAAGTAGATTTACATTTTAAAAAATTGATTGAATTTAACAGTGAGTGTCATTTTAATCATTAGAATTTTTTTTTAATTTCTTAATATGTAACTAACTGATTTTATAACTACTTTGTTTCAATTATTGTAACTAGTTTAATTATAATGACAGTGAGTACATAATTTTTATAGTAAAATGACTTTAACACCAAAGATGTGCAATGTATGACATAGATTTCTTATAAAGAGTAATGTAATAAGTTCTATAGCTTGCCTTTGGCTAGGGATTGATGATTGAAATGTTGTTATTTCTTTGTTCCTCATAGCAATCACCAAACACACATAAAGGAATTGTAAAACATTTACGACATATTGTATCAAAGTAAGTTTTGTAAGTCATAGCAATACAAGCTAGGGCACAGGGTGCCCAGGCTCAGCACTTGTATTGCTTTCACGGCGAGTCAATGTACAGTTTGCATGGTGCACGGTTCGAGCCCCACATGTACAGTAGATCAAGCTGTAATTTTTTTCCTTCATTTTCTTAGACTTAAATTCAAGACTTTAAATAAGTATAAACATTTCATAAAAATATTATTGAAGAAAGAAGAAAAAAAGATGAAAGTCTTGAAAATTCTTAGAAAGTGAAAGGAAAAAAAATTACGGCTTCATCTAGGGCTCGAACTGCGCACAACGCAATGAACTGTACATTGACTCCACTGTGAAAGCAATACAAATGCTGAGCCTGGGCACCCTGTGGCTAGGACAAGGCTGTGAGTGTTTCTTCTTTACTCTGGTGCTAATGTTTTGAGTTGATGTGATGTAGTTACCACTGATTGATGTGTTCCTATTGTGTTCTGACTGACATTTTTTGTGAACAGAGGAAGAGTACGACATGTTGACAAAGAATTTGACCTGGATCTTACTTACATCAATGATAGAGTTATTGGTATGCACGTCTCTTGTGCAAGATTTTGTCTTTGATTTTGTGACATTTACTAATAATTTCATAACTATTTTCAGCAATGTCATTTCCAGCAACTGGACTGGAAACTACTTACAGGAATAATCTTCGAGATGTTGCCAAAATGTTACAAAGTAAACACCAAGATAAATATATGGTAACAGAACAGTGAATTTTATTTTATTTTATTTTTTTTTGTGGTTATTGTAAGAATTTCTTAGTTAATAAAATATATTTTAAATGTTCAGTTACACTGCATGTTTGAGTTTATGGTGTCATTTTTACAACTGTTGCTTCATCATTTCCAGGTTTTCAATTTATCAGAAAGACGTTATGATATATCAAAGCTTAATCATCAGGTAAAGAAATAGTGTAAACCTGTATTGACCTAACCTGTTCTAGTCTCTGTAATGATCACTGATTTATACCTGTCTGTTTTATAGGTGCTGGATTTTGGCTGGCCAGATCATTTAGCACCTCCATTAGAGAGACTATGTAGGTAAGTAAAATGAATGCCATGAATGACCGTGGAGGGATGACTCACTAGATTCTACTAGAATGGTAGGGGTAGGCACTATGACTTCTATTGCTACTTGAACACAGTGGATACCATATGCAAAAAGAGTAATGTGTCTTTCTGAAGGACAACCTCAAATTAATGCAAAATCTATTGTAATAATTAAGCTGCAGTTGTTTAAAAAGATAAATTTAACACTGTAAAAAGGTAGGTAAAATAACTTACTGACGTTTCGGAYATTAATCCTTCATCCTTSRTCTTCRCTCTGAYGAAGGATTAACGTCCAAAACRTCAGTAWGTTATTTCACCTAMTTTTTTAMGGTGTTRMATTTATCTTTTTACACAACTSTTTCTTTAGAAACACCGACRCAGMTCACACTASTTTAYCGCTAGTKCCMWCCCTATTGTAAAGCTAAAATTGTAATTTTTAAAATGAAATTTCATTTATTTTTTTGTTTCAGTATAATTAAATCTATTGATTCTTGGTTGAAGAGTGACCCAGATCATGTAGTAGTTGTTCACTGTAAGGTATGTAAGTACTGAATGCCAGTGTCTTATGCTGAATGTCCATCCCTTGTCTTCATGCTATTACAGCGAAAACCCCATTGCTTGTATCACGACCTACAAGTTTTTAAGTTAGCTTACCGGATTTTCACCCTTCAACTCTGAAAGTGAATAGCTTTAAAAAGACTCAAATGTTGTATAACTCTCGTCAATTGGTGAGATTTTGTATTCAAAACAACCAATAAATTTCGATTTACTTACTGAAAACTAAGGTCGCGATGCAAGGTGGTGTCATAAATCATTTCTAAGCAATGTTACTCTTATCTTCAGGGAGGTAAAGGAAGAACTGGTGTAGTTATATCTGCATACATGCATTTTAGTAAGATATGTTCAAGGTAAGTGGAAGTTATTAAAATTCATTTAAGAATGTACTTGATAACAGTCGACAGTTATTCAGTTATACCCTTATTATTATACTAGTTATTTTYAGTCATTGGAACTCGACAATTTTGCAATCTTGATTGTAAATCAAAATCTACAGKGTATAAATGTTGAATATAAATGCGTACTTGGTAATTTTCATGGGATTCTCACACATRTCCTTCAAGTAGTCTGGCGTTTGATGTGTCATTATATTTCAATTTCAGCCCTGAAGCCGCTTTGGACTGGTTTGCAATGAAAAGATTTTATGATGATAAACTAGGAGGAGTTACACAACCCTCCCAGAGAAGGTGATGATTACTTGCGATTTTCGTAATGCGATAAACCAGTTATTGCCGAAAGTATTAAAATGAGAAATAAGGCACAACTCCGCCATGTGGGATTCACTAAAAAATCATAGGAGCATGCGCAATCGCTTGATTTGTGTCTAAAGAATAGGAACAAGGAAAGAATGCCAGCATTCCATCAGAAAAGTTCTATGTTAGACTAACTATGGTTACACAATGTTTGTAAAGAAGTTGTTGATTTTCATCTTTTTCAGATATGTCCATTATTTTAGTGATTATCTTGATGGCAAAATTAAACTTAGTTCTGAGTAAGTATTATACGTCTTCCCGTATTTTGTACTCAGAGACTTAGGCGGCTGGCACAATTCACATTGGTGCTCAGATCTGGACACTATTGTGCGAACAGTAGTAMACTTTTCCTGGTGCCCAGGCGTTAATGCGGGCACTGAACCTGGTACAAAAATGTCTGCGTTCACACGTAGCGTTAGTCTCTTTAACAGCCGCGACTTCCGGTCTCGTCAAATTTCCTCACCGAAAGTTACTTTCGGGGAGGAAATTTGACGAGACCGAATTCTGTTAGTTTTGACATTGATGCTGGAATTATAGTTTTGGCATGAATTAGGAGTGTTGACTCACGCTGTCTGTTATTGTAGATTCGCCCATTTTCTATAATAAGATTGCATTATTGTGTTATTCTGACTATACACTTTGATTATTYTATTATAATTTACTCGTGTATTTCTTGTTTTAATAGCCCCATTTTTCTTCACCACGTAATTGTCCATGGAATTCCGAACTTTGATGGAAAAGGAGGTACGGCTTTAAAGTGTCTGTTACACAAGATATTGCATTTTTACCATAATTGTAAATTTTCTCAATTTAGTGATTGCTCCGAGAATCATGGTAAATAAAATACATACCACGGTCGCAAGATCTCTTTTTCTGGGATTGTTTTTTGATTGTAGATTTATTTAGATTTTTTTTGTGGCAAAAAGAAATTTATTTTATCATAGTTTCTCGTGATATGTCATCTTATTTACAACGGTAGGCGCAATCTCGTCGCCAAAATTATTATTTAACTACGCGATTTCATCTCGTAAATAGCAATTTTGACGATTCGGACATAYCTCGAGAAACTCATAAATTTGATAATTTCTTTTGCACTTGATAACTTATTTATTTTGCGTACTACGATTGGTTATAAGCTATCATTTCTCAAAGCATATATCTTTTGTACAAGATGAAAACACTGAACTGAATGATATGTTCTCAGCACGTACTTCCCGTGACTTCYATGCTTGTAACGATAAAAGGCRCATGCGTATACACAATGTGTGTCTCTATAAAGTTCAATCTTTGCATGRTTTTTGTTATATTTTTAACAGGCTGTAAACCATTTTTGCGAGTTTATGACGGACTTAAGCTGATTTATACTTCAGGAGTGTTGTAAGTAAAACTTCAATAATTGCTTCTTACCAGAAAGTCATAATAGAGAAATGAGGCGTGTGGGATAGGCGCAGAAACCGTTTAGGGAGCATGMGTAATCGGTACTAAATTAGACTCTTATTCCATCAGACGTGATCATATTTGAATCTTGTTTCTAGTCATTAGATATATATCTGAGACAAAGTAGGAATAATAAGTAAAGTGATCTTTATAAATCCGTTAAACAAAATATAATAGTAGTTAACACTCAACATATCGAAAGGACAAACGTGCCGCTAAAGTGCATTTCACGAGTTTATGAAAATCACTCGAATAATCATTGYAACTGATCTTTCATATTTGTCATCTTTCGTTCACCTATAACCTTCTCAAGGCATTCCTACCCCTCYGTCTCYKTGCCATATACCATTTTATTTAGTTCTAACCTCATAAACGTTTTTCCATCAGTTATGTGACCCAGGAAGTCGAACGAATATGCATCACTATCGAGGGAGGACTGATATTAAATGGAGATGTTTTGGTATGGTGTGTTTAGTTGATTGCTCTTTTATTCCCTTTTAATTCTCATTTTCTACCTGTTTTCTTGTTTTGCTGAGATAGCAATGTTAATAAGATAATTGAATCAGTGCATAGACAATATAAACTGGAATGTTAAAAAACAGTAGGAAGAAAAGAAGGAAAAAATAATAAGAAAAATATAAAAATAAAGCATCACAAAGACAAAAAAATAACAACAACAACAAAAAAACATTCCTTTTGTGTGAACAGGACTTACAACTTTGTCTTAAAACTTGTGAGTCTTAAAATAGCTTATAAATGCCTTCAGACTCATTATAAACTATGTCCCTACGGATGAAATGAAAACACATTTATTTTSATCCGCGTAATTTAATTCCAGTTTTCCACTGTTGATCGTTTTCACCCTGCAAATGATAAAAGACTGGCGGCCTTGTTGGATGAATTATCGATAGATACTAATGAAAAAATCATTTGTTGAAATTCATCCAATATGGCCGCTGTGACGTGTATTGAAAAAAATGAATATCATAAATAAGGCGTATCTGACTCGACCTTTGTAGTATTGCTATATTTCAAATATTGTTTTAATACTGTTATCATTATTTACAGATCAAATGTTATCATAAAAATACCTTATCGTCTGGAGGAGATATTATATTCAGATGTCAATTCCATACAGGAGCAATAAAAGAYTATAGTTTAGTATTAGACAAGACGGAACTCGATGAGGCATTTAAAGGTAATTTCGGCATGTTGTATAGAACTTTGTATACTTTGTATAACTACCCTCAGAAACGTTGAAATAGTAAATACTGATCGCAATTCATTGTTACTATTAACTTTCAAAAGCGATAAAAATTGCTGACTCTGCTCAATCTGTGTTTCGATTTGCCCTTCAAAACAGTGAGAATTTGATATTTTTGATTCTACATAAAGTCTCTCCCCTTTTTTGGTGCAGATAAGCGATTTGCAGATGGTTGTCAAGTAGAATTTGTTTTCTCTGCAACGGGAAATTTCGTTTCTGGTGAGTTTTAATTAATTGATGTTCGAACGAATAGCAGTAAAGGCGTTACATCGTAATATTTGGGGTTCGTTTAATTGATTTCTTTTGAAAGAAATGTGTGTGTTGTGTTAAGTTGCTTAGCTGGGTTATTTATGTTGTGTTTTAGTGGTGGTCTTGTGTTGCTGTGTATTGCTGTAAAGTTTGTGATGCATTGTTTCTTTCTGTTTGTAATGTTGCACTATTCCATTTCATGGGAGATGGTTTACTGTGACTCTTGTCTATCTAATACTGTATATATTTTTTCAGGTATTAAAGGTAACGATCGTCTCCAGTCCATTATCAGACATTCGCTGCAACCGATAGAAAACCCAGACACAGTCCTTATGATTCCCACCGCAGATGGACAAGACGAGGAAAACTGGGCTGATAGTGAAGGAAGCTCTGCTAGTAACCAGGACTTGTCGCGTGCGAAAGGTACCTCAAGTATAACAATAGAAAAGGTTCTGTAGAGCGTTAAGTAATCTTACTTGAAGGGCCTTGTTGGTTTGAAATATAGGGCTGCAATTGTGGCAAAAACGTGCACTATTATTGCCAGAATCAAGATATTCGAATATTCAATTTGAGAAAACAGTGTACGTGACTCGCTGTTACCTGCGATGCGAAAAGTAGACCTGAGCTCTAATCAACTCTACAGTTCAGATAAGAATCAGTGTTTTACTCATTGGTTGGAGTGAATTCCAAACCGTTTGCATTTTGAAGCAAAATGTAGATCCAGATTTCTTAGCTTTTATACGCTTCATATCCAAAMATCTAGGTTATGTTAACTTCAAGTAACATTTGTGCTATAGTCTCATTAGACTAAATTTACCAGAATGCTCCGCATGATTTCTTTCCATTTTTTCAAAAGAAAGCATGCAAAGCATTCTGGTATTTATATATGACGTTACCCATAGCAACGATACCGATACCACCTCCCACTAATCTAAAATTCATATATATAGAGATTTGTTTTGATTTATTTTGAAAAAGAAATTGTTTTTATCGTATTTATTATCTAATTAAGAAATTCGTTTTTACGAGCATTGAATATTATCTAATTTTGGTGAGGCAGTGCAATCGAAATATGGGCGAAAAGTACGTTTACATGATTTTGAATGCATTCGGTCAAAACCGGTCAAAAACCGGTCAAAAACCGGTTAAACAAGTGATTTCTATGGTCAAATAGGCCATTCATCAAAGTTCCCATGATGTTCTAGTTATAGGTTATAGTTTTCATAGTGTTAACTATCATTAGGTTAAAGGGTGTAGTATAGTGTCCATGGTAGTGTTAGTATCCATTAGGATATGTAATGTAAGATTCTGCTTTTGCCTACTTATGCTGGACGTTGTTGTGGTTGTTTTTTGTGTCGTTGGTGTTTCTTTCCTGTTTTTTCTCTGCTTTTCATAATTCACTTCTTTTTGACTACCTTTTTTTTTCTTTTGCCACTCTTGTTTTCTGTTAGTTTCGGTTTTCTTTCTTGTTTCMTTTCATTCAGCTGTTAACTCTTTTCTTTACATGCGCAAAGTAATTTCTAATCAACATAAAAAATTAATCAAGTCTTTTTGAACACTGAGGCAATACGTTGGCTACTGATTCTCCGATCGACAATAGTCTYCCCAAGTCCTTTTTGATTGTTCTTTCCAAAAATACAATTACTTGTATTGTTTCTAAAAAAACAACCAAATAAACAACCAAATAAAATAATTAATGGTTATTATAAAAAGCTGCTATGAAGTAAATTTTTTTATGGCCTATGAAAAGTACGAGGAATACAATTCCCATAATGCTTTGTTGTACAAAATGGCGACTATGCACATCGCCTATTCGATATTTGAATTTTGAATTCTATTGAGTTGGCATATGTCTTCACCTTGTAATAGTTTATTTGTTTAATACCAAAGCCTGATTTCGTGTACATATACCCAAACCGTCTTTGAAAAACATTTTCTAACAGTATTTGTGCTTTCCACATCGTTCACTGCCGTTTTGATTTGTTGTTGTGTTGTCCTGACTCAAATACTTTCTTAAGTCAAAGGTTTTTATACTGGAAGTTGATACCATGCAAAACTTGAGGTAAAGAAATCSTCAATATATCATGTAAGTGTTTTACAAAAGCTTTTGTCTCAGAGTTAAAAGGGACTTTAATTAATCAAACTGCGGCTACGCACTAATGAAATACTTATGATAAATGTAACATCCTAATTGAAGATAAATCAAAACTAAAAAAATAGCAAAGCATGTACAAGCACTGTTAAAACTCTATACTATGTTAAATCGTAAATAATTTGTATACGCATGCGTGCTAAAGAAGTTTAAAAACGTGCCATTTTTTTATCTTTTTGCTTTAAGGGAGGCGTGAGTGGTTTTAACCAATCCCTCCCCCTGAAATCTTTGTCGTGACTCTACTAAACCCTTTAACCTAAATGATTAATTGTTACAGCAAATTCAAGAAGCGTTGTCACAAAAGTCGTATATTATAACATTGGATGTTAAAGACCAAAATTTGGTATGGGATACTGGCTAATTTATGGCGCAATAATTAATGATCGAATGGTAATTTATTACGAAATTATTCTTTTACAAAATCCCGTAGATCACTTTGGTTGAAAGTGTTAAGTCTATGTCTTTTGAATGTAACAACGTTTCGCTTTATTTTATAAGAGGAACTTTTGTTATAAATTGTATTTAAAAAACGAGTCAAAAAGAAAGATATCATATATTGATGGGTAATAATTATGAATAAATCCATTTATTTGTAAAGTTTATTGAAATAAACATTTTTATGCAATCTTTTGTATTTTTTAATTCATTTGCACTAATTTATTCTTACCATTTGAKTCTAATCATTTGATTCTCTTTCTTCCATTTTTCTCCTAGTTTTTAACTAACTTTCCTCAGTTTCTTACTGTTCTTTTCTTTCTTTCAAACACTATTGTATGTCTTTTGTCACTATTTGCTGTTGTTTTTTTTTGTGTGTATTATTGCTAGTTTGTTTTCGTTATTTTGTGGCTACTGTTTTCAAAGAGGAAAAATCCTGACTATTGTCGTCGTCACGTGTTGTGTGAATTCAGTTACCAACAACGCATGTTCGTCTAAATTGGTTTACAAATAATTATTATTACTCTAAATRATACTTATCAAACAATAGAAACATTGAGTGTCAAGTCAGCTTAAACTAATACACACAAGTTTTGATGTTAGCTCTCCGTTTATGACTCTACTMCGCWATCAGCATGTTAYAGCACATTTGCTTCATAGTGCCATTTTCYTATTGGTAAAGCTGAAATTTCACTGATTTTTGTWTTTCATACCGGGGAACGGAAGGAAGGTGTATTTTTCAGCATTATTATTAAATCCTCTTACTCGATAAAATAATGGATTAACCTACAGGACAGAATAATAAACCCACGGTTATACAGCGCATGCGCTGTKTAGAGCTCAGCGTTAGCCATGACATATTGAGGCATACATCTGTCATCGAATACTCGTTAACACTTGACAATTTCTTTACTTTGAAGGTCCCTTGGATTAACTATGGTATCTTTCCTAACAACTACTTTGGTATTTTAAAAGTCGTTTTGGTCTTTGTTGTGATAATGCAACCAGAAAAAATAGCATTGTAAACAATAGTGTAATAATCCCCTTATTGCTCTACCTGTTGATATTRTACACTGATCACGCGATCATTATAACTGAATCAATTCGCTTGTTGTTAAGAATTCACTTCTAGAAGACGCAATCGTTTCRACATATACAGCTCAATACACAGACTCAAGAGATTTTTTTTGACTTCTCTTGACTTTAGAAGATAAAAGTCACCTCTCTTTTTCAAGACCCCCTGCTGAGGGCCAGTGTGTAATGGGTCATCGTAGCCATGCGTCCCTAGGTCACTTGAGCTCAGCACGTTGTAACATAGTTACTYGTATGAGAACARGCTTTGTTTAGTCCTGGAGTGTGTCTATTATTGACGAAAGCTTACAAGTACGGTCTTAGGTAAAAAGGTACGTTCTCTTTAGACAGTTTATACTAAKAATGTCTATTGACTTTCATTGTAGATAAGTATGTATTCAAACACGATGGCGCTAAACTGTTTTGACATTAATGGAWTGACCGCTTCACTTTCAACTTATGTTCATATGACATTAACATTTATCCCGCTTTATGTAGTCTGAAATAGCACACATGTTCAGGGGAGGCAGGGGTGCTGTTTGTAAGTCACTGACTAGTCGAGATTAACAGCTCAAAATAATGTACTATTATGTCTGCATACCAGTGGTTATTAGCTACACAGTGCCCCCTAGAGGTCTTTCTCATTTTTCTGTTYTCATCATTATCATAAATATAAAAGGTTTCATCATATGTAATATAGAATTATTTAATGATATCAAGTGCTTACCTGAATKTTATTTTTAGACTGCGCTTGACTAAACGATAGTTAAAAATAATTGAATTCAAGATTGCTAAAAAAATGTTCTTATGAAGTTCCACGWCTACTGAAAACTTTCACAGTTCTTTCTGGTTTAGATATACAGCGCGCGGAGCGAGTTCTAATTTCTAGTTTCTTCTAGTTTGCAATTAGTATAATTAAACAGTCGCTCTAATTGTTTTAGGCTRAATTAATTGCTACCGTACTCTCAAAGTGTAAACAGTCTTAATATGGAATGTTTGCCTGAGGTCCGATCGCTTGTTATTTTATGATTAAGTTTTCTTTCAAGTTAACCGCACTTGTTACGGACGGTTGATAAGCCTCGCCAACACTCTTATGTCAAAAGTATTTGAAGGTCATAAAAGAAAAATACACTATCTACCATTTAAGACAATAGGTTTGATTCCAGAAATGATAATAGCTTAATAATATTAATAGTAAAAACAATTTAAAAAAATATTTTAGGTGTAAAAGAGTTAGAGCTACTTCTCGAAACTGCATGCATTACGAACYTATTATAAGACGTCGCCGCTAGGTTTCAATTCGTAGGCGAATGTCGATATTTTATGTCTAAAAACAAATTGACGGTTCTAGAAGCCTCACTTATAAAGTTATACAAGCATAAACCCTTAAAAAAACGATGGAGGATTCTTATTGACGCTTTGGGTTTAGTTCCAGATTAACAATGCCTAGATTACATTGAAAATAAATTATATTGGGTGTTGAGAAAAATGTTGRAAAAAATACATATATTTTGGGTCTGATAGAGTTGGAAGTACCTTTCGGAATTATATGCCGTCACCAACTTAAACCGTCGCCGCTAGGCTCCAATCAGATTTAAGGATTTCTATTCTTAGAAGAATGTCTATATTTTTCGGTTCTCGCTTATGAAGTTGTAAAAGCATGAATAAGAAAGTTTACGGAGGATTTCAGAGTACTAATAACTAGATAAAAAAACAACAACATATATTTAGGCTGAAAGAAGTACACGATATATTTAGCCGTGTA